GTGCTGAAGCAGAGTCAGCACTTTGAAAATAGGCTCTCCCCTAGGACCCATGACTGAGACCTCCTGTGCCACTGACACCCGCTGGAACTGCTGGGATGAGGTCTGTGTTGGGATCTTCCTGCATGAATCAATAATTTCAAGGAAAAGTTCAGAAGACTAATAATTAAACTCATAGGAGACAGTATGGTGGAAAGAATAACAAAATATGCCCCTTTCTCCCAAATTGTTTACTTTTTTATAATATCTATTTCTTCTGCTGAAATTCTGCTTGGAAATTTACACTCCATAGTAAGCAATATAAATACAGTAATTTTACCCTATTTATTTTCTCCTTTGGCATTTTTTTCCCTAAAGTAAACTGTATTTTAAGAATTGCAGATAACGTACATTTCTCTCTCTCTCTTTTAAAATAGTACTATTTCTATATAGATATAAACCTACACATGCTTTTTTTTTCATCCCTGTTGTATTTTGAAGAATTATAGCTGGTTTCTCAGGTGGGTTTTCCAAGTTGGCCAAAACTTTTTTTCCCCAAAATCACTCACAGTAAATCTTCCTTCCTTCTTCTCCCTTCAGGGAAAGATCAAGCTTGTTAACATGTGAAAAAATGTTGGAAAATACTGGACACCTAGAGGTCTTCAGTAAACGTGCTTGCTCAGTTGCTGCAGAAGATGTTGACAAATTAAATCCCTCAGCTGAGATGGTATGTGCTCCAGTCCTAACTCCCATCCAAAAATCTAGCTTTACTGAGAACCATCATATTCAGAACTGGACATATTATTTTCCCAAATTTTTCTAAAATACTACTGTTTCCTGACAGCTGCTAACAGATGACAAACCCTCTTTTTACCCCAGAAAGGCTATGTAATTTCATCTCCACAATGACAAAGTTTCTGGTAGTTAGTCCTCTGTGCTCCTAGTTCGATTTTGAAACCACTCCACCAAATTAATGTGAGTAGACAATAATAAAAAACCAGAACCATTCAGCAGTAATATGCTTTTGCCAGTCTCTTGTTAAGACTCAGTTAGCTAGGGCTGAACCCAGTGATCCTCTGTTTATGCACTATGTCCATGAGCAATTCCTGAGTAAAGATTATGGGACAAAAAATGGAGACCTATGTGCTACCATGAATTTTTTGTGGGAGTGTGCCTTTGCCTGTATCAAGGCCCACTGAAGTCAGTATGACTCTGAGCCCAGCTTGAAGCCCGTCTGCGCTGGGCTTATCACTGACAGGATATACAGTGAAAGCTGCAGTAAGGACCAGGTACCTTCACAGATTCCTTATTTAGTTGATTCTTTACATGTATCTTGAAATTTCCTAACACAAATTTTTTTTCACTTTCCTTAAAGCTAGCTCTATTCTGCAAATGAGTTTTGCTTGTGCTTTGGATAGTCACCTAATACAGATTTCACTGTGTAAATTTGTGTGCATGTACATAAGCTGTCTTCAGCTCTCACATAAGCATGTATCTTCTGTGCAGAGAGGCAATGCTTACAAAAAGGGCATTCATTATCATAACAAATACAGAGAGAGCAGAAGACAATGTCCTTGTCCCTCACTTTTTAATAAAAGAGTATAACTACATAAGCTGAGAGCCACAATACATACCGAATGAAACCTGCCATCTCTGCTGTTTGAAATACAGCTCTCATTCTTTCTTCTGTAATCATGTAAAATAGCATTAAACTCTCAAGAAGAAATTTCTTTGTTTGGTTTATAACTATTGTTCCACAAATTCCTTGGCAGCTGATGACTTGGTTTCATCATTTATAGAGCTAAAACTTTATTCTAGAATTTTATTGGTTTTTGTCTTTGAATTATGGTGTGCAGAAGGACAGCCTTCACCTGCTATATTAAAATAAATTAAAAAAAAGAAAAAAGATACTGTCTCTTTAATGAAAGAAAAGCATTAATATACTGTATTACTGAATGCAAATGCAATAAAGAATAACATATAGCTCTGGTTATGTTATATGACATTTGGCTTAGCAGTATTAACATATTGTACAAAATCTGGATTTTCCCTATTGCAGAAAATAAGATGATAAAAGACATGGAAAATCTCTTTCTTCCATATGATCATAAAATAAATATTATTTTTTCTTTTTCTTCTCATCAGTCATTTGCAGAAATATTTTAGTATTACTTCTTTGTTAAGCCAGCTCTCTATCATGTATGTATTAGGCATACAGTACAAGGAGAAATGGAACAAGATGGCAGTTATAGCAGTGGCAAGATGCAAATTTATTCTGGAAAAAAGTAATATGTGCACAATATCAAGCATGCTTAAGTTTGTGCCAGGAAAACTATTACGAATGAAGAATGGATGGAATGGAATTTTGCATCATACATGATTACATGTTGCTTAACTTCATAGAAGAGTCTTTGTCTACTCCTGATGTCCCCAGGTGCCACCAAGAGAAGCTGCTTACCACACTGCTAGGGTGAAAATGGCAACAGATACCCCAGCAGTAGTCACCTCTGTAACATGACTCTTTGTTTCAGAAATTAAAGAAATAGACCTCAAAAAGATGACAGAAAATTCACAGACCATTGAACTGCAGGCACTAACTCCAGGTGGGGAGAGTGGGACAAATTTATTACATGTTGTACTTGAGTAATAATTGAAAGTCTGTAGTTGTTTTCTACTTCATTTTCCCCAAGTTTAATTAGGCTACTTTATGCATGTGACGTCATTGTCACTGTTTTTCCTCCTGTCTCTCTCATATTGTATGACACATGACCAAGTGTAACCAAGCAGTGGAGGAGTTGTATTTTTCACTGACACCTCTTGAAAACCATTTTATAGAAAAATAAGGGAAGAAAGATGAAGAAGAGCAGGAGAGAAGAAATAAAATATCTTAAAGATAGATCTCTACATTAACTCACCATGAGGCAAAAGAGAAATAATAACTTTTCTTCATGTGCCAATTCAATTGGGATGAACCAGACTTGCTACTGTATTGGTACAGTGTAAAAATAGATGACACTGAGTAATGGTGTGAACAAAAAAAACCATGAGGAACATCACAGAAATGTATGTTGGATGGCCTTTGCACAGCAGAGGTAGATAAAGGTTATAACAAACTGTTTACTGACCATGTACACTTACTAGAATTAAGAGGTCAGTTGAACAAGAGCTCACCTAGTAAGAGTTTTCTCAGTAGTGTGACTCATCAGCTGTAGAACAGTACCAGAGCACTGCCCAGTTATTGCTCCATCACTTTTCAGTAACATCTCTGTCCTTTCAAAAGTCTACATTCTACCATTAGTTAAGGCTTTTTCTTTTACATTTCTACATTTTTCCCCAATTTTTCATCAGTTCACTACAATTAATACATGTGCCTCTAAAAGAAAAGAAAATAAATAAAAAGCACCATGTTTTATTGAACAAAATATAGCATGTGCAAGAAAGGGAAGGGAAGAATTATAGAAACAAACCAGTGCTGAAGAGTTTTGCATTAGCTGGTGCTTTTTGTTGTTGTCATATTTGCACAGATCATTTTAGGCTCCTCAGTCCGGGTTGTAGCCAAAGACTATCAAAACAAATGCTCTTGCAAAGTATTTGAGCTTTCGCAGCTTAACATGTGCATCTGGAACCGCTTAAGCAGCATGGTTTCCTTCTTCTTGTTTTTCTCCAGAATTTAACAGACCATAAAGTGTATACAAAAATGCATTATGCACCAGTGATTAAATGTTCTTACAACATTAATATTTATGAAGGGGTATTTCATAGCTAGAAAGTAGGTAACTATATTTTATTTCCTAAGAGAACATTTTCTATAGGTTTCCTTCATTTCCCAGCTACACAGCAAACATCTCTAAAGTGCACTTCCCAAGTGTAGTTAGAGAATAGGAAGGAATGTAAAGTTTTTAAAAACAGCCCTTATTAACTTTTCCTTCCATTGATTCTACTGTAAACTCTAAAAAGCCTTTTAAAAAAGCAAATTCTCATACACTCAGCAGGTGAAATGTTCCCACAAAAATAAAAGTAAACAAATTAAAAACCACCCCAAAAAATGAAAAATCAGCAATCGTATTACAATCTTTTTTCTTGACTACTCATATCCTAGTATATCTTTACTGGTTTTATTGCACATTTATGAAAATGGTTGTCCTATATATTAAAAAAAAATAGTTTCTTTATCTGTGCTAACACATTCTTGTGCATCCTTAATAAACTAGAGTAACTTTCAATAACATGTAGATATTAGAAAAACAATGGAATCAAAACCAAAGAGATACTTTGTATTGCAGATGCTCAAAGACTTCTAGTGTAGTTTTGCTGAGACAAAAAAGAGTTGGATTTTGGAAGTTCTTAGCTCCCGTTCCATATGGAAAGCTGCTGGTTATGTGACAACAGAAGAACTCAAAATATGATTCACAATGAATGTCAATCCTTCACCTCCAATATGAAGGTTTCCCAACTACTCAACTTGCTGAGCATAACTGGTTTTACGTAGCATATCTATTAAAGGCTGCTCCTGTTCAACTGACCAGTGAGAAAGGACTGGACTTCTTCAAACGGGTATTGGAGCAACAGTTTGTTATATATTTCTTTACGTTTTTTAACTGTCCGATCCCACCTTGTAAGGAGAGCACTTGTTCGTTCAGCTAAAAGGAACCACCTTCATGCTCCTTTTGGGTTTGCTCAGTCAACTGTTTTGTGCAACAGTGGCAGAGGCACACTAGAATTGTGTACCCATTCATTGTGATTACACAGACAGAAGCAAATGTGTGTTGTCTGTGATGGGAGATGGGAAAGGGAAAGAAGATGAATGGTTCCCATGGGTAAGAGGACAGTAAGGTTTGTTTGGGGTTTTTTTTGTAGTTGTCTTTTATTTTTTATTTATTTTCTATTTTTTGGTTAAATTTGTTTTGTTCTTTTTGTGGTTTTTTGTTGAGGTTTTTTTGTGGGTTTTTTGTTGATTTTTTCTTTTTTTTTCTTTTTTTCTTTTTTTTCTTTCCTTTTTTTTTTTTTTTTTCTGCTATGTCACGGAATCATAGCAGTCATTCCTCTAATAGAAACTGACAGGACATAAAAGACAGAACTATCAGATGAACACACACAATGACTAGAAAGATATTGACAGAGAAAAGACTTAATTTAGCTTTGATAAACCGTCCCAAAAATAAAATCCTGTATTAACAAGTGCAAAAAAACAAACAAAAAAAGAAACTCCAAACATTAAAACACAGTGTATAAAATGGTGTGAGAAATTTAAGTCACCAAACAGCCTTTTAGTCAATAAAAAGCTGTGTTCATGTGTCCTTGTTGTTTGGGTAGTGGCCCATCCTCTTCATTTTATCCAAAAGGTCATTCAAGAAGAGATCTGAGGGTAAAGCACTCAGTCTTTGCTGTTTTTGACTGTAGTCATTTGGGCCTGTTGTGTTTCTACCATGTAAAATGAATCCTTTCTTTTATTCCTCATTGGTTGAATTATCTTCCCAAGTTGTTATGCCTCCAAAGCCCAGTCCTGTTGAGTTCTGTGCTGCTGAGACTGTAAGTACTGTATGTAAGAGAATTAATACAAGAACACACAGTTTAAGTCTGCTATTACACAGTCTTGATGCTGATGAAACTGTGAGCGATGTCCTGTGACACATTGTTGAGCCACTTGTTTTTATAGTCCCTTTGGATTGATGATCTGATAATAGTCCCCATCTGACATCACAGCATTCTGGTTCTGCATTGGTTGGATAGTTTTCATAGAGCCCTGTAGGGTAAACATAAAAGAAAAATAAACGCTAGGCACAAAGACTGACTGAAGTGGCAGTTTGAAGGAACAGTTGATGGTTTAGTCTAAACTATTGAATCTACATCTTTGGGTGAGACTGAGGCCCTCAAAAAATCTGCTATTTTGTATAACTAGAGATGTTGAAGGAACAAACATCATCTAACAAGAAGCAGCATTAAAAGATAATTCAGAAGGAGTATGATGATGAGCACGGTTTGTAAAGTAACAGCATTAAAAAGTAATTCTTGATATTTGAATGATAAGAGTATTTGAATTCTTCCTTTTTGGGAAGTAACAATGAATGATGAAGTACGAAATAATCAATCAGGACGTTTCAACAAAATTTGAAATTCTTCTTTCAGTATATGAGCACATACCAGCAATATCATGATTCATGAAAAGACAGGCATTAAATAACAAATTGACGTACTGATGATATTGATAATATTGATTGTTTAACCATTGTAAATCAAACGGTATCACAGGAACAGTTTCCAAACAGAGCTGTTTTGGGTCTATTTGTTTACCCTGGATGTTGTCTTCAACACACCCCAGAGCTGAGAACAGTCTTTTCTTGCCATACAATAATTGGATTTCCTGGTATTTCTGACTATACATCTAGACCATTTTTGCCTATGAAACTCTACTGAGTTACTCAACCTGATCTGATTATGACTTTTTGAACACTAAGAGGAATTCTGTCTTATTGGAAAAGTGTCAATGCTGTCTGCATTACTATATAGGAGATCAACCAGATTATTCTGCTTGCTTCTCACATACCTTTCTTTCTTACAAATAAAAATAACCTAATTAGGATACTTAACTAATGTTCAAATGCAAGAATGTCTAACATAATGGACAAACAACTTTTCTGCATTTAAACTGATCTTGGACTAAATTGTTCAGTAAATAATATACTCTGTAGTAGAACTAGGTTTTACTAGGAAAAAGATCTATCTGTTCTGAAATATTAGGATAAAAATTTTGAAAGCGGTTTTACTTCTTTGAACAAGAATTCATTTTCTCTAAAACGTTACAGCAACAATGTTATTTTCAAAAAGTAATTTAGTTGTAACATTCTTAGGTCCAAGCACCAGACTGCTTGCATTCTGTAAATAATCTGCAAAGAAAAACAGCACAGCTTAAAATATGATAAAATAGAATTCTTTGGTTCCTACTTCCATAATATTGATCTACAACTGAACAAAAAGCTAGTTAGGTATGCTGGGCATGTTAAGACGCAAATTAAACCTAGACTAGCACATTTTTACATAGCTGACACAACAGTCTCCTATGCTATACATGAATTCAAGTGAAGTTGCATTTAGTTTTGTACTCAACAAAATTTTTAAAGATACAGGAGCGAGAGGAACTTGTTTCATGTTCTGTAAATTCAGAGTTTACTCAATGGTAAACCTGACCATTTTTGCACCTTTGAAGTCAGAATCTAAATGCAGCATTACAATGCTTGAAAATTATTTATTCTCTCTCAGATCATAGCTGAAAGCACTGCATGTTTTTTAAGAAATTCGGCTGCATTTTGGAACTTGTGGACAACTGTTTATTGAAAGAATAATAAAGCAGTCTTATTGTTAACATCATATTTTCTGAGATGTATCTTTTGGCATTTGTGTGCATAAGTCTGTTTTTAAACATTGCAACATACAGGCAGTGCCTCCCAAAGCAGGGAATTATACAATTTGTTCTGTGACTACAGTAGCTCAAATGATTAGTAGTAATTGAAGAAACACAGAGAATGGTTAATGCTTTGATCCCACCGAGACTTGTTTGCTATTCAAACTATATTTTCTGCCTTTCTTGTTACAGGAAAATCCTGACTTTCTTTGAAATCAAAGCTATGTGTGCAAGTTGGCAAGCAAAATCTATTTAAATAGTTCATATGCACTTACTGAATTAAAAATAAATTGACAGCAACTCCACATTCAAAGCCGAATTGAATTTGTTCCTTAATGCAAAATTACATTTCCTCTGTATTTCAATTCAGTAATTGAATTTAAGTTTTGAATTTGCAGTTAAATATTTAATAAACAATTAACTACAGAACTACTATTCATGTGACAGTGTAGAACATTTGGAAAAATTCAGTTAGACCTTTTGCACTGAAATAATAGTTCACAACACATGTTCTTCACCACATACTTGTTTGTAGCCACAAATATAAGTTTTTGCCCCTTGGATCTAATTAAGCAGTTTATTCAGTCAGAGGGTTACAAACCTGTGATTTACCAGAAACCCAGGGAAGCTGGCTACATCAGTCATGGAAAACAAAGGAGAAAAAAACCTAGTTTGTTCTTTTATCAAAATATTCATAGAATGGCTTGGGTTGAAAGGGACCTTAAAGATCATCTAATTCCAAACCCCTGTTGTGGGCAGAGACACTTTACACTTGACCAGATTACTCAAAGCCCCATCAAACCTGGCCTTGAACACTTTCAGGGATGAGGAATCTACAGCTTCTCTGGTCAACCTGTTCCAGTATCTCACCATGCTCACAGTAAAGAATTTTTTCCTAATATCTAATCTAAACCTACTCTCAGTTTGAAACCATTTCCCCTTGTCCTATCATCACATGCTTTTGTAAAAAGTCTCTCTCCATCTTCCCTACCCGAACCTGAGTGTGTTAGCCCACGGAACTTTGTTTTCCTTGAGCTTCCTCCACCCCCAATAGATCAAGACTGCAAATGTCGCTTTGACCAATGGACATCTAAATTGCAACAATCAAGTCTCATCATCAGATCCAAGGGTCGTGACTCTGAACCCTTCTCTCTCCTTTTTTTTCTTTCTCTTTCTTCTCCTTTGGACGTTGTTTTAAAATTTGCCAAGTTCCTTATTCTACCTTAATGTTCTATAGTTTGCAAGTTAAAGTTTGTTAGTGAACCCCCTGAGAATTTTGTTCTTTGTCCTGTGCACCACCCAGTCAAAAAACCTTTGTCTAAACCTGCTAAGTGAACTGGGGCGTAACACTGGTCAAGCTGCTTTTGATACAGTCCAGGGCACAACTGTTTTTCTGAGCTGCAAGTGTACATTGTTGGTTCACGCCCAGCCTCTCATCCACCAGCACCCCCAAGTCCTTCTTGGCAGGGTTGCTCTCAATCTGTTCATCCCTCAGCCTGTATTCATCCAGGGATTGCCCTGACCTAGGTGCAAGACCCTGTACTTGGTTTTGTTTAATCCACATGACATTCCCATGAGCCCATTTCTTGAGTTTGTCCAAGTTTCTCTGGATAGCATCCAGTCCTTCAGATGTGTCAACCACACTGCTCAGCTTGGTGTCATCTGCAAATTTGCTAAAGGAAACACTCAATCCCTTTGTGTATGTCATTAATGGAGATATTTAGTAACACTGTTGCAGAAGGCCACTAGGCTGGTTAACCAGGACTTCCCGTTGGTGAAACTACGTTGGCTGTCTCAAATCAGCTCCTTGTTCTCCATGTGCCTTAGCATAGCTTCTAGAAGGATCTCATGATGGGTTGGTAGTTCCCAGCATCCTCCTTTTTAAAGATGGGTTAAATGTCCCCCTTTTTCCAGTCACCTGGGACTTGACCAGACTGCCATGACTTCTCAAATATCGTGGAGTGGATTGGCAACTACATTAGCAAATTCCCTCAGGACTGTGGGATGCATCTCATTGGGTGCCACACACTTATGTACATTCAGGTTCCTTGGGTGGCCATGAACCTGATCTTTACTTACGGTGGGAGGGACTTTGATCCCCTAGTCCCCATCCTGCTGCCCATCCACTTGAGAGGTGTGGGAAGAGAGGTTGCCATTGAAGACTGAGGCAAAAAGTTGTTGAGTACCTCAGCCTTCTCCTCATCTGTTGCTATCAGTTTTCCAGCACTGATTATCATGGAGGTGCACCTTCTTTGGCCTTCCTTTTCTGGTCAACATATCTGTAGAAGCCCTTCTTGTTATTCTTTGCATCTCTTGCCAAGTTCAGTTCCAGCTTTGACTTGGCCTTCCTCACCCCATACTTAGACTACCCAATTTCATCCCCTTCCAAGGTTACCTGTCCTTGTTTCCACTGCTTTTGCTTCTTTCACCTTAGTTGGACTTTTATTTTGTTTGAGTATTATATATAGGGATACAAAGTCTGGGATAAGAAATAAAAAGGATATCTGTATCCACCAAATAACTAAGGTTCCCCTATTCCTCTTCTGTCTTCATAGTTCAATTTGTAGACATCATTACTTTGTTTTACTTGGATATTTAGTAATTACACTTCTGAGACTGACTTGCCAGCTGTTACCAGCTCAAAATGTACTTTGTTTTTCACTTTTTACTTACAATTCTCAGTTCTATGTCTTCATTTCCCAACTCTTCCCAGCACACAGTTATATTTCATCAGCAGAAATCTTACACCATATGGAGGTTCTTGGACCTTTAGTATAATTGAGGATCTAGAATTTACCAGGAGACCGGTTTCAAACCATTCTCTGGACAGATATACTATGACTTACAAAGATCATATAAAAGCTAACTCTTTGTTTTGTTACAGGACAGATTTTTTTCCACATGCAGCTAACATTTTGATGATCAGCACAGAAGTTATATCTGTAGGGACTGTGTGTTGCTAATGCTGGGGCAAGAATTAAGGCAACTCGTTTGACTGAGATTATGTTAATAGAGACTTGAAGAGATAAATCCTGTGTGCCCCAGTCAGCTGAATCATACTGAAAGAAAAAGGAGCAACATAATGAATATAGTATACACTTTGTGCAGAAACAGCTTTGGGGGAAAAGCAGCAATCCTCAAGTTCTTACACAAGAATTGAAATCACAAAGATTGTCTATGCATGCATGGTCTGCTGATCAGCTAGATCACCAGATAACTCAGAGAATGATGTGGTTTCTGCCTGAGCTCTTGCAGGAACCAGCATGCAAAAGTGGTGGTTGAATTTCCACATCTCTCAGCACTGTTGGGATGTGTCACACATGTAGCTAGATTTGTATCTGAAG